GAAAATGCCGCTAAGATGATTAGGAAAGTCTCTCCGGTTCAGCTCAGAACAGAAAGGACCCCTAAAAACTGCTCCCACTATTTACACCAAAAGATCTCTGATTTGCTCATTTTGCTGTCAATCAAAAAGGGATTCAAAACCCTTTGGAACTGCTGACTCAGGCCCAGGAATATGTGACTCAGGTGTTGATGGCTCAGGTGACTCAGGTGCTGAAATCCCAAGCCTTGGATCTGCTGGCACTGGGTTGGCCAGATCATCAGCTGCTACCACCATTGTGATCAGAAGCTTCTCCAAATCACCTCTCAACTGTCTGATCTCGGTGAACATGCCCTGGAACTGAGGAACAAGAAGACTCCTGGGTCAGGATGCTAAAGGGTTCTTTACCTGAGTGCAGAGGTCAATCTGATTTTGTAGGTCCCAAATGGCACACAGGGTGTTAATCAGTCCACTGACTTGTGTTAGAATCTCCCTCATCTCCTTGGGTGGCAAATGGAGCACACCTGATTTGCGAGGCACAGGTGACTGACAGGCAGCTGGAGACTGTCAAGGAGTTGGAAAAAAGCTGAAGAGTGACAAAGCACTGGGCACTTGTTGCCATATCTCTCACATAGATCCTTCTCCACTGGATCGCAGGAGACTCCCTCCTCACCTTTTCTCTCTGTCTCAGTCCACCTTTCTGCRTCTCTGACCATAAAAGTCAGGAGGTGAGCTGGGTTTCTTTGGAGTTTGACACTCTGTCATGGTTGGTTACAATTTTAAACCCATAACCCTCTTGCAGATGCTTKTTTTCTTAAAAATGAACTTACTTTAAAAACTAAATCAAAATGCTGTTGATGCAGGAAAACTTACAAAACAGATATTGTGGTGAATGGACACAAGCACACAGAGCCAGGACTGACACATGAAATGTATAATGCCAAACTGAGGAACAAATAAATCACCYGAGATAAAGACCAAATTAATACCCAACACTTGTGCAGACAGAACTAGGATCAGGTGAATGTGGGTGTGTTAGAACAAAACGGAACTGGAGGGCAGATCATTGTGAAATACACYAAAACAAACCAAATACAGAGAAAATAATCCCAAATATTACTAAAACTAAAAATTATAATAGTTAACAAACAAAAAAGGTGCAATCCTAACAATACCAGCTGATTGCTGAAGTATGACTGTTATCCTCAGAGATTTAGTTCAGTTGTTTTCATAAATCATAGCATGAGTGCTTAACTGAAGTGTTATTTATGCAGTGAAAATCTGAAGAAGCAAAGTGGGAGGAGCAGTACAAGATCAACACAAGCAGTGACTTTGAGATTATCAGGCTGGCTTCAATTTAATGGAAACATACAACAAATGGAAATAATTACTTTTTCCACTTTCACCAATCATGATGAAAATTGGATGTATGATATAAGAATATTATGCACCAAATTTTCTGTATCTTCAGACTGGTAGTTTAACTTCACAGTGGCAATGCCCCAATATTCACATCCTGAGAAGTTTTTTATGCTCTCTATTTTCTATTTTGACCTTTGCATTTGTTCAGAATTGATGTTCAATTTTCTGACATTAAGAACCAAAATGTGTTTTACATTAACCCCTCAGTGACCCAGTCAGAGAGAAAATGGATCATTTGGATGCTGCCACTCTTCTATATTGAGTCAAATTTAACAAATTCAGAGAAGTGCACTATTTATCTTTTCATTAAGTTAGATATTCTTCACTTGAGACATTTATGGGTAAATTGCTAAACAGCATTTCTGTTGTGAAGGTAAACCTCCTTTGCATTTTTTCTTTCATCATTTTTAAGCATGTACTGAATAACACCTGTGTTTCACATAAACACCCTGTAGAATTACAGGGTATAACTTTTAATGTGACAGGAAAAATGCAATAAAAGTACCCTTTAAGTTTAGTACCTCAATGTCACATTGTATTTATTTGTAGTTTAGGACAGAACAGCTACAAGAATATGTTGATTATTTGTGTGATAAACAACTGACCCAAATGCTGCCATAAAGCTTAAAGACTCAACATTATACCACAACCTTAAATTGCAATAGTTCAGCGTTTTTGAAGTGGAGTTCAGTGGAAATGTTATAAAATCTCATTTGTTATAGATTAAAACACTTCATTTTGAAAGGATGATTCATATTTATTGGATTGACAAGTTCTGAGCTATTCTGAGTGGGGTCAAAAATAAACTATATTTTATTCAATGAAGCTATAATCTCAAAAACCTTACTTAAGTTTATGCAAACACTGTTTTGTATATTTTATCAGCATCATCAAGCACTGACCCTGGTGACCTGGAAATAAAGAAGCGGGTAAAGATAATGGARGGATGGATGATTATWATGGCAGAAATAATCTGATAATCTGCTTGAACTACTACAAACATCTGCTGCTGCCCAAATTTACACTTGTAAATAATGAGAATTATGTATAAATAGCTGTGTAATGGGAAGCTAAAAGGTGATCAGTTTAGTCAGAATTAAACTCTCTTTATCCAAACTWAGCTTGCTCAAAAAGCCARCTACAACAGGTAAGATACTGGATGTTCYTAACCTTTCCACAAATTAGAACCCCATTCCCCTTTAAGAAACAGCATGCACAGCTTCAGATAATGTGCATCAAATACCTGAGCCTCTCTTTGAGACCACCTTTACACTCTTGGACAGGGTGAAGTACAGCAGGATCAAGAGAGGGCAGGGAGGTGTCATCTTCCTCCCCCGTCCTCACAGCCTGAAAAGAATAAAAAGAAGAGCCATCAWTTGCTTGCTCCAATATGAGATCAAGTACCTCTTTGTTTTTTCAAGACTTAATGTCAGCGCAGAAGGATGTTTTAGAAATACTATGGCAAACAAGCGGAGACACAAATATACAAACATTTGCACAACCAACTGTGCTCATACACTAACACTGATCCAACATATCCCCTGCCACTAGGGGTGGGGGTGGGTCATTCACATAATAGTAAATGACAAATTTATATAGTGCCTTATCAAGTCCACATGAACCCCAAAGTGCATTACACTTAACCCATTCACACACATATTCACACACTGGTGGTAAGCTACAGCCAAGGCCGTCCTGGACTTTCTTTTCATGATTGCAATTTAATGAAATTATTTTATGGTTATATTTCACGGACAAGTATTTTCCAGAGATGTGAATGAATTTATAAAGAAATAATTATATGTGTAAGAAACAGAGGTCTTAATCGTCATTTTTATTAAAAAAAGGGGACACCTTGAGGCAATTTCAAATTATCACCTCACGACTCAAAGAGATGTTCCAAATATCGACGTATATCTTACATTAATTGATGGAGGTGACTCATTTTCTACCCCTCATCTACTCTGAGTAAATGACATAATCTAACATCAAGTAATTACTCTGTAATAGCCAGCTCCTGAAATAGATGTGGTGCTGCTGTATAAATTTGATGTTAAATCAAGAAAGAATACACTCATCAGTGTGACAGTTTATTAGCTGATGACATTACCCTTGAAAATCAACTGRCATCTAATGCCAGAAAACCTTTACACACAAATAGACCTGCAGAGTACCTGGATGTATGGAGTACATTTACTAAATTAAATACCTAAAAAACAGAGAACAATATTTATATTGATTTGAATAATCAAAATGAAGAGGATTTTACATTGGTTAAAACTGAGAATGATGTCATTTTATCGTGCACCTTTGCAGTACAAATAAGGGTTCGGGTCATTTATTTCCTGGGCTCTCAGTTCAGGTTTTAAAGGATATGATTGTTCTTTGAACATATGCCAAACAACTTTTAAACTTATCATATAAAGAATGAACACATAATAGTTCATCCAGTCTGGATAAGAAACTTTCYTTTCCCTCTCAGTTTTCTCATAGCCTGAAAGCCATGTCTATTTTTTTCTCACTCACTYTTGTTTTCTCAAAATCATGCTGGTGGCTGTGGGAGAGTAGCATGGACCAGAATGTACAGGTTTCGCCGTAAAGGCTAGAGATGCCACCCCACTTAAAATAGGTTACAYTGAAAACTAAATTATCAATTATTTTGGGTTCAGATGAGACTTAATTTGGGCCTTGATACAAATTGCAGTCTTTAGTTTGGTGCCCACTAACATACAGCAAAAATATAAAAGTCAATTGTTTATTAAGTGATCATGTTTTACAGAGCCTGCGAGGGGACATGGTGTGTGTGTGTGTGTGTGTGTGTGTGT